CTGCGGTGGTATAATAATTTATTTTCTGGATATTTTTCTGGAAACAGTTTGTTTTGCGCATGATAAGCTTTGGATACGATTATCATTTGGCACAGCAAGATTCTTGTTTTGATCAGAAGGTACTTGCATTACCATATGTTTTTTACTTGAGGTTCCTTTCTTGTCTATCTTTTTTCTTTCTAAAGGACTTCACATCTACTTGATTTATTTAACCAAATCTTGAATGCTTGGATTGTGACTCTGAATTGATTGTGCTATTCATTGCTTTGTTGCAATTCTGAAGTGAATACATGCTCACCACTGTATGTGGGTGACTGTTGCTTGGTTTAAGTTTTGCTGATATTTTATCATTTTGTGACTGCAGAGGCATATTCAACGATGCTGCATTTGTAAGTCGGGAAAAATTTGTAACTATGTTCTTCAGGTTAGTAAAAATGAATTTATGGCATGTCTTTCTGTGGTGTATTCTTCAGGTCAGATAAGTTTGAGCATGAATTTGGTGTGTTTTTCTAATAACTTGGTTGTAAAACCTATTTATTTCCAGGAGAGGAGTGTCCAAAGCAAAAATTTGAAGTTTAGCATATACCTCTGCTATTTGGTGTATGCACCATTATATATTGCGGGTCCAATAATAAGCTTCAATGCATTTGCTTCTCAGGTCTGTGATTTTCCATATTGGTCTCTGTATGTTTAGTTTTTTTGTAGTGCTTTATAGCATATGGGCCTTAAGAGTTCATGCATGCAAAATTGTCATATTAAGAAAACATCCAATAGTAGCTGTAAATAGCTCATATGAAACTAATATATCTCTGAAAAATTTCTTGAATGTTGTCTTTGCTGCTGGTGATGATATTACTCTTATGTAACCTAGTTATGCTGCCTCTGGTAGGCCAGATTGTTGGAAAGCTGGATTTCCTACTTTGAACATCCCATCCTTATGCTTATTATCTTCAGAAATCTTATTATGCTATAGGATTTGAGGAACCTTGTTATACATCTGGATTTTTCAAATTTCTTATATATCTTCTATTTTGGGCTGCAACCCTTGTCCTCTAGTGATATCTATTTTTCTTCTGAAAAAAACTTTGCAGCTAGATGCGCCTCAAAAAAATAATTCACGTAGAGACATAGCATGGTATGGATTGCGTTGGGTCTTCACTCTTTTTCTCATGGAACTAATTACGCATATGTTTTATTACAATGCCTTTGCAATCAGGTGAGACTCTTAGGAAGTCAATCGCAAGGATTTACCTTAGAAATACTTTTCATCTAATCTTATTTTGTGTGAACTTCCCTTCACATAACAGTGGCTTGTGGAGACATTTATCTCCTATGGACATATTCATCATTGGATATGGGGTGAGAGGTGATCTTTACTTCGTCAAGTTTTTTTTCGTTTTGTAATTAGGGTTATATCTTAGCACATTATAATTTTCTCCTATATGATTGCTAGATATATTACCTATATCAATGATTATGAATCATTATCAACTGATATATAGTAAGAGAACGCAGATTCTACTAATAGGTGAAAATTTATTCTTCCATCCCTGACTGATCTTCTGCTATAATATTGTATTAATAGTATTAAATTTCATGTCAAGGACAACAATATCTTCGTCTAAAAGTTAAATTGCATTAAAAGCTTTGTGCTTCATCTTCGGGGAGCAACTGGTGGTAGCCTCTATATGACAGGTTGACTATGCATAGGTCTGTATCAGGAAAAGAAAACACTGTCCAAATTGACAATATATATTAAAAGCAATGGATTTGGGACAACCAGTTTCCTTTTGTTAGAAATACAAATAACATATAAATCTGGCAACACCCTAGACTTCAGATATTTATTGGTCATAAAAGTCTTTATCTGCCAATATCATGAAGGGGATGAATGACTGTCCTTAAAATTTTCTTAATAAGGATAAGAATAGACTTAAATTTTTGTGGATTGCATGAAACATTCCTTTAGAAAATCATGGAAGTCAGCTAAGTCTTAGATTCTGATGTTAGGACAAATAGGGTTGATTGGTCCAATTATAGATTTGGGGATAACAATAGATATCACATTTATGGTTTCTTAGACATCACGTCTAAAAAGTCTCAAGTATCAAACTTAAGAGTTCTGATTGAATCAAATAACCAAAAAATTGATAAATTCTCGTAATATTATTGAATTATGTTAGACCGAATTATTTCATGAAATGTAAGGGGAATAAACGACTGCAGGAAGAGGCAGATTATTAGAGGGTTGATGAGCAGGTGAAAACCTGATGTAATTGGCATACAGGAATCCAAGGAAACGAAGGAGATTGGGTGGAGAGATTTGCCAGTTAGAGGTGCTTCAGGGGGAATAGTAGTACTACGGAAG